CAGAGGTATCTTTCTTGTTAATATGGTCCCCAAACAGCCAAAAAAGCTGGAGTGAGGCTTGTCCACACTAGAAGCCAGGAACTTCTCCTGGGTCTCCCACATGGCAGCACTTGGCCCGTCCTCTACTGATTTTCTAGGCACATTAGCAGGGTGCTGTATGGGAACTTGAGCAGCTGGGACTTGGACCAGAACACATTTAAGTATGTTGGCACTGCAGGTGACTTCGCCACAGTGCTGGCTGTATATGTGGTTTTTCCAACCACTGCTCCTCACTCCCTTAAAAAAAAAGGAAAAAAAAAAACCCAAAGATTTATTTATTCATTTGAAACGCAGAGTTACAGAGAAAGGGGCGGAGTCTGAGGGGGAGAGATCGTCCATCCACTGGCTCAGTCCCCAACTAATTAGTTCCAGTGATTGGGACCAAGCCAGGAGTGTGGGGCTTTTTCAGGTTTACAGGTGGGTGCGAGGCCCAAGCACTTGGCCATCTGATGCTGCTGTTTTCCTAGGCTATCAGCAAGAAGCTGGACTGAAAGCAGAGCAGCTAGTACACAGCTGTGTCCAAATGGGATGTCAGCATTGCAGGTGCTATGCCATAGCATCTGTCCCAACCACTGGGCCTTTAATCATTATTTTTATTCAGATTCTAGAAGGTATTTCCTCTCCCCCTGAACATTTTTTTTTAAAAATTATTTATTTTGGGCCCGGCGCGATGGTGTAGTGGTTAAGGTCCTCGGCTTGCACGCCACGAGATCCCATATGTGCGCCGGTTCTAATCCCAGTGGCCCTGCTTCCCGTCCAGCTCCCTGCCTGTGGCCTGGGAAAGCAGTCGAGGACGGCCCAAAGCTTTGGGACCCTGCACCTGCGTGGGAGACCCGGAAGAGGCTCCTGGCTTTGGATTGGCTCAGCTCCAGCCTTTGCGGCCGCTTGGGGAGGAATCATTGGATGGAAGATCTTCCTCTCTGTCTCTCCTCTCTGTATATCTGCCTTTCCAATAAAAACAAAAATAAACAATAAAAAAAGAATTATTTATTTTAATTGGAAAGGCAGATATGCAGAGAAAGAGAGACAGAGGGAAACACTTCCCATCCATTGGTTCACTCCCCAAGTGACCACAACAGCTGGAGCTGAGCTGATTTGAATCAAGGAGCCAAGTGCTTCTTCTGGGTCTCCCATGTGGGTGCAGGGTCCCAAGGCTTCCTCCTCCACTACTCTTCCAGGCCATAAGCAGGGAGCTGGATGGGAAGTAGAGCAGCCAGGCTTAGGACCAGCGCCCATATGGGTTCCCAGCGCATGTAAGATATGTATTTTGCCACTAGGCCATCGTGCCAGGTTCTCCCCCACCCCCATCTTTGTAATTTTTATCTACTGAAAACTCACATGTTCTTCAAAGCCATCTGTTCCATAAAGCTTTGCAAACTTACGTTATCAGGAAATAGTCTTACCTTTTTTTCAACTCATTGTTGTTTAGGACTTGGTTTGTGCTATTTTCATTGCAGTAGCTTCCTTGTTTAACAGTTCAGTATCTGTGTTCCTATTTTCTCTCTCCTATGAAATTGACTATATGTATTCTGTACATATGGACCTTCAGTAAGTATAAGAGGACTTTAAAGGATTCTTAGAAAGTGAAAAGAAAATAGACATTTATTTAGGTACAGAAAATTTTGAAATCCATGTTCCAAAAAGTTCATGGAAAATGCATATTAGGCATGGCTGTAAAGCATTATATTAAAATTAATTTTTTTCAGTGCATCTTCCATGAGCCTTTTGAAGTGCTCTAGTGTTTCACTGAATAATGTGATTAACCTTTTTATCTCCCAGCCTTCCCACTGAGGCTTTTGACCTGTTACCCTCAGAGTTGGTGCCCAGCTCCTGTCTTGGACTGCATGACCCAACTCTGCACTCAGCCAGCTCCTCTTTCTCTGCAGAGCCACGTGCTTCTGCCTGTAACTGGCCATGTGCTGTGGCACAGATTGTAGAACCAGTAAGAAAGGATGACTAACACAGGAAGACACAGTTTTTAATCTCAAGCGGAAGTGCCACATGTTTTCCTTGATGTCCCTGTGTTGTTTTCTCATCAGCTGTGGTAGGGTCAGGAGGTTTATTTTCTGGGGGAGTTGGGGGTGCAGTAGGGGAGAAAACTGGCATTTGTCTCGCCCTATTTGTTTATTTATTTTGCTTGTCTCTTTGCTTGGTTTCAGCTCCCTTGTGTTTTCTTTTTTCTGCCCTCCTGCTCTTCATATTGTAATCTAGCTAAGATGAATCCACTGCGCCTACATGGCACAGTGCCACGAGTGAGGCTGAAGTCTTCTGTGGAGAGGGTGTGTGTGTGTGTGTAAGATGTAGTTACTTATTTGAAAGAGAGAAAGAGAGAGACTTTGTAACTGCTGGTTCATTTCCCAGGTGGTTGCATGTCTAGGCCTAGGCCAGGAGTCAGGAACTTCTAGATATCTCATAAGCGTGCAGGGGCCCAAATATATGGGTCATTTTCCACTGCTTTCCCAGGCCATTGTCAGGGAGCTGAATGGAAGAGTTGCAGCCAGGACTCGAAGTAGCTCCCATATGGAATGCTGGTGTTGTACGCAGTGGCTTTACCCATTGTGGCACAGCGCCATCCTTGAGAAAGTTTTCACAAGTGGCTAAGTAATGTTCGAATGTGACTTCCTGATCAGATATCTGGAGAAAGGTCTTATGGAATAATTTGGAGGGATCCAGTATAGAGAAAAGCTGTTCAGGCAAACTCTGATTGAAGGGATACTTTGTTTCTTTTCTTTTTAAAAAAGTTTATTTTTCATCTACTTGAAAAAGCAGAAAGAAATATCCTCTATCCCTTGTTACCCTCTAAATACCTGTATTAGCCAGATGGCACCTGGCCAAAGCTAGAGCTGAGAACTCTCTCTGCTTCTCATATGAATGACAGGGGCTCAAGCCGTCACTGCTGTTTCCCAGGTTGCATTAGCAGAAAGCTGTTTTGGAAGCACAGCGGCTGGGAACCAAACCAGGACTCTGATATGGGATGCAGGCATCGAGTAGTTAACCTGTAGCACCAGATTGCCCATCCCACATGGTCTATTACCATTTGCTTTTTATTTCTTCAACATAAAAATATTGGTTTGAGCATTTGCCTTAGCTGTTGATACAGCTGCTTAGGACACATGTGTCTGTTGCCAGAGTGTCCCGGATCAATTCACAGCTCTGCCTCTTATCCCAGCTTTCTGTTGGTGTGCACACCAGCAAGTAGCAAGTGCAAGTGCAAGTGCTTGGGTCTTTGCCACTCATGTGCAATCCCTGGGTTGCATTCTTAGAGTCAGCCTGGCCTAGCCCTGGTGTTTGTGGGTACTTAGGGAGTGAATCAGTGAACAAAAAGTCAATCTTTCCTCCCCCCCTTCCCCTCCCCTCACTTTTTACCCTTCCCCTCTTTCCTGCTTCTCCCTCCCTCCCTCCTTTTCTTTATCTCTGCTTTTCAGAAAGGTGAACATTGGTTAGCCTTTAGCAAAGTTCTGGAGTTATCCATAAGTTATACCCTTAAGTAGCAAAACTGAAACTGAAACCATAAAACACAGCATTATTTTGGAGTAATCGATCAGATGCAGTGAGAAAGGGTCTATGTGAGGTACTTCCTGGCTTTGGGTCATGGGTTTCTAACTAAGCTTGGCTGAGCTGCCCCCGCTGACCTCATAATCCACAGGAGACAGGGCTGGCTCTCTGGGTCGTTGCTAATACTTAGGCTGCCAGAGGTATTCCCATGAAAAGTAGCCTCCCATCTGTTGCCTTTGTTGCTTCTGCCCCCTAATCTGTATGCATGAATGTGGAGATTCCAGCACTGACTTCTGCAAACTTCCGTGAATTCAGGAAGAATAAAGCCTGAGTGGCATATTGCTTGGCTCTTGATCCTTTGATTACCTCCCTCTTGCAACCCCCCCCCCATTTTTTTTTCTTGTTTTCAGAACAACAAATGCATCAAGGGGTCAAAACAGTGCTTCCAAAATCCTTTTCCTGTTTTGTAACCCATCACCAGAATGATTTGTAACCAGAATGTTTTGCATTCTTACTGTTTGTTTTTGGTTCTGTCTTTATTGCTCCTCCCCTGGTCAAAGGACCCTAGTGCTTCATTTAACTAGCAGGTGTTGCTAGTAATGGTTACTGACCACTTAATGATTAGCCTCTTCTCCATGCAACCTTAAACTCAAATGATAAAAATCTCAGAAGCACTTCTGCTTTCCCCTATCCTGAGCCTTCATATGCTGAAAATTCAAATGCTGCTAAACTGTACCCTCAAATCTTGCCTGGAATTAAAAGCTTGTTCTTCCTAGTTTGCAAAACCCCTAGTTTGGGTTCCTGTATCTCTTGGTGAAATTATTATCTACCAAGTTGTTCAACATTTCCCTAACCACTTTCTATTTTTTTCAGAGTTTGGATTTTTTTCCCCCACTAGTTTATTAACTCCTTTTCCATTTTTAACTGGGTTAATACAGTTCCTTATGTCCAAGCAGTTGTCAAACCTAACCTTTAAAGGTCTTCAGGAGGCCTTCACTGCTAACACAATGATTTTTAACACTACTACTATGAGGAGTCCATTATCTGCTGGAAGTATCTATCTTTCTGGATGGATAATGTGTCTTTTCCTCATTGTGAGCCATGTAGAGCTTTACAAGAAAGGACACATGGGACCTGGTTGGTCAAACACATTACAGGTAAAATGTCAGAGAGGTTCTTCTGTAAAATAGTCTGCAAAAGCCCAGTGGTGATCTGTAACTATCATCATTTTAGCTAACATTAAGAAAAAGTGTAGCCAATCAGGTGCTAGTCAGAAAAGCAGAAATATATGAAATTGTCACTGCTGTTAAATCAGCTTGGCTGTATTGTCAGCAGGGTCTCCTCAGCAAGTGCCTGGGTTTTCCTGTTTTCTCAGCCAGGTTCCCCATGGGAATTCTGAACCCAGGTTCTGAGTGCTTGCAAGATGTTAGAAAAGCCAGAGTGATTTGATTGTGTTTATTTCACAGCTTTTGAAGATGCTGATAGTGCCGTCGATGACCGAGACAGTGACTATCGAAGTGAGACCAGCAATAGCTTCCCACCTCCATACCATACAACTTGCCAGCCCAATGCGTCTGTGCACCAGTTCTCTGTGCCAATGCGATTGCCACAGCAGCTGCTGCTTCAGGGTGGTTCCCGAGACTCCTGTAATGACTCTATGCAAAGCTATGACCTCGATTATCCTGAGCGGCGGGCCCTCAGGTAAGTATTGGGAAGAAAGGAGTTTTTCTGTCTCCTAGCCCAGTCCCCTGTTGCAGCTAATAAGAAGGATTTGGGTGCTTTAGCCTGAGGTGACAATGGAAGTATAGCAGTATTATGATGAGCCAAGCTACTGTTAATTTATGCCAATTCTCAGCCTGTTTTTCTTCTACACACTCACTATTGTGCATTTCCACCAGGAATACTTTGCTGTGTACTCAGTGATTCTAAGCTGATAAGGTCATGCCTACCTTGGGTGGATGGTTGCCTCTCTGCCTGGTACAGAAACTTTGATACACCCTTCTCCAAGATTTAAAACAAAAAAATACAGATATATGTGTAATGTTTGGATAATCTTGTCACCTAAATATTTGCTGAGAAACCTGAAAATCAGTATGATTTAACCATGGCATATTTGGTAACTTTGCTGGAACTCTGCTTTAATTTTATTAGTTACTTAAATACATAAAACATTTTAAAACAGTGGTAATGTACAATACCACACACAATCAAAAGTCTACCACATGTAACTGTGGTTCCTTGCCTGTCTTACAGTTCTCTTCCCCTTGTTTATTTCTCATGTGTCCTTCTGTAGACTACTGTTATATATTTATGAATATAAAAGCAAGTGCATACTACAGCGGGACCCTGGGTTTATATTAGATGGCAGTCACCCATCCCTGGGTACTGGAACATTTGGGAGGCTGGGTGTGGCTTCCCCCAATAACTCTTCCCTTCCCCTAGAGACAAGAAGAAATAGAGAGTTTGGAAACTGATTTCATCCACTTTTTCCCTAACCCTTAATCCTTTTCATCCTGGTCAACTATGTAAGCATCATCATAAAAAAAAAAAGCAAATGCATAGATACATGCTCCCTTCATCCTTCAATTTTTTTGTGGGAAAGTTTCAAGCTTAAAAGTTAAAGAAGACAGTGAACATTCACCTCTGTGTTGCCTAGATCTGCCAGTTGTGTTAACATTTTGCCATGTTTGTTTTACCTCATTTACCCTAGTATTTATTCACATACACAGTTTTTTTGGGAGAACCATTTAAAAGTGAGTCACAATCATGTTGTTACTTTAGTATGTAAACACTCAGAGAAGATCTTTCTCTTTTGTGACCTTAGTGCTATGATTATACAGTATATGTCTAGTATATGGGCCATATTTAAATTTATCCAGTTTCTGTAAAATTTTTTTTCCATTTTTGATTCAGAGCCTTGGCATTTGATTTTCTTGTTTCTTTAGTCCCCTTTAATTTGGCAAAGTTACTTTTTTTCTGGTCTTTTAAGTCAATTTTTAAGCAACCATTTTCTTTCACAATTTTTTTTAAGTGGTAAAAGAAAAAGAGAGAGAGAGAAAGAAATAGAAAAGTTTACCATTATCTAGTTCATGCCCTAGATGACTGCAACAGTCAGTACTGGGCCAGGTAGAAGCCAGAAGCTTCATCGTGCTCTCCCGTGTGGATGACAGAGGGCCAAATACTTGAGCCATCTTTCACTGCTCTTCCCAGGACATTAGCAGGAAGTTGGGTCAGAAGGGGAGCAGCCAGGATGTGAACCAACATCCATAGGCCAATATTACAGGAGGTGTTTCACTGAATGACACCACAGTACCAGTCCATTCTGTATTGGGAATGTCTGTCTGTCTGTCTATCTATCTTTATATCTTCTTGATTGTTTATTCACTTTTAAAATCAAGATAAACATTTTCGGCAAACACACTACATAGAGTGATGGAGTCAGGAGCCAGCAGCTCCAAATGGGTCTCTTACACAGGTAGCAGGGGCCCATGTGCTTGGGCTGCCTTTCTCTGTCTTCCCAGGTATGTTGACAGGAAGATAGACTGGAAGTAGAGTAGCCTGGACTCAAACCGGCACTCTGATTTAGATGCAGGTAGTGGAAGCAGCTTAGCTCTCTGTGCTACCTTGCTAGGCCCTAAAATGGTTTTTAAGTAGACTATATTACAGCTATTTTGGCTTGGTATTTGAATTGATACCTCTTTTAAAAGAGCATTCATTTCTGCACTTTTGTGCTTCTGTAAACAAAGTTCATGGAAACAGTCTAGGTCCTTAAGTTATACAGTTGTTTTAGCAAGAACCTCTAGAGCTTCCATGTGTGTTATTATGTACTCTCCAGTAATTACAGAATTTTTAAAAAAAGAATTACTTATTTTAGAACTCAAAGTGAGAGAGAGAGAATGTTTTTCCTTGCTGGTTCCCTGTGCAGATGGCCTCAGTGGCCAGTTCTGGTCCAGCTCACCCATATGGGTGTAGGGCCCAACCATTTGGACCAGCCTCTACTGCTTTTCCCAGGCCATTTGCGGGGAGCTGGATCATAAATAGAGCAGGTGGGACATGAACTGGTGCCCATATGGGGTGCCAGCAATCACAGGTGGCGGCTTTACCTGCCACATCACAAGGCTGGTCCCAATTATAAAAATTTAAAAATAGATCATTACGTTTCCTGTAGTCATGGATATTTGTTGATTTAAATTGGAACTATAAAGACTTCTTCCTGGCTAGAGTTAAGTTTAGTTTGGATTTTTGGAGAATACTGGGGAGTAATGAAACTGCATATAAAACAGTATGCTAAGTGAGATTTATTCACTCAACCAAATGTGCTTTGACTTCATGGAGTCCAAAATAGCAGTTTTTTTTAATAGGATTTGGGGTTTGACAACAGAATTAGACTTCATTAAATACTATATAGCCTCTTCTAGTGTAGAGAGGGGTCACAAAAATTATCAGTCTTACCCTAGAAAGCTTTTAATGATTCACTTTATTTTTGTTTCTGTTTCCTAAATAAATGCTATTGGATATTAGAACTATGAGAGCACACCGTGGACTGACAAGCTCCTAGTCTGTGGGCCTCTCCGCACTGCCACTTCAGTACCCGTGAAGAGGCGGTCTAACCTAACTGAAAGAAAGGTCAGCTGTTTTGGGCATGTAGCTTCTGCTACTACAATCTGTATATATTTTCATTTCATTATGATCCTTAGAGTGTATAGTCTTTAGATCTCACAAACAACAAATTGCAGTATTTTAAATAATTTGTCACTTTTGTTAATGTGATCAGATTAGACTTTAAAATTTTTGTAATATATGTATATTTACTTGTTAGGAGAAATGTTTGACTATATTCTTGACCGTGTGTCTCAAATATGACTTTCAGCATATTATCAGCTTAGCTTCTTTTTAAAAGATAATTATTTATTTGAAAGGCAGAGTTAAAAAGAACGAGCAAGAAACTGATTTTCCATCCTCTGGTTAAATTTCCAAGTGACTCCAGTAGCCAGGACTGGGCCAGGCTGAAGCCAGGAACCAGGATTTTCTGGGTGCAGGGACTTAAGCACTTGGACAATCCTCCACTGCTTTCCCAGGTGCTTTAGCAGGGAGCTGGATCAGACATGACAAATGGTATCAAGTAAATAAGAATTGTTATTACAGCTACTCATTTCCTGGTATAGAAAAAATCTGTTTGCCCTAATATAGTATTAAGAACATGTGGATTTCTTATTCATATTTTTAACCTGAATGAATTTTATCAAACTGGCAATTTTACTACTCATGTTTCCTTGTTGAATGTGTACTAATTCTTATAACTTTTTTCTTCCTTTTTCCTGTCTGCTTTTTTTCCCCTTCACCTTACTGTTCCTCCAATTTCATCCCCTTGCATCAGACAAAGCACACAGGCTAAAAATGGCAAAATTAGGATCATTTCAGCTTTCTCTGATGTTGACTCTGAAGAGCAGGGAGAAAATGGTAACCTAAACTCAAAGGAAACAGAGGTAAAGGAAACCAGAAAGTTTTCAAAAACTGACAGATACTACAGTCAGCACAAGCAACCGAAATATGAGGATTTGGAAATGATATCATCCCAGAGCCAACAAACAGAATTCTCGGCTGCCCTTTATTTTGATTATGAGTTTAAACCACCAGTTCCTTGCAGATATCCTCAGAAATATGATACGATAGACAGGAGACGAAAAAAGAAGCCCTCATATAATTATATTGAAGACAGTAAAAGAAAGCAGTATGTTGATAGATATGGCACTAAGACCAGCTCCAAAAGTACTATTGATACTGAAAATGATAACTTTTGCCACACTGAAAAGAAGCATTATCCAGTTTTGCTCCCACATCACAATGGATTTAGGGTTAAGAGTGACATGCGAACTAATCCGTTAGAACGTCATGATTATGTTAGGCCTGGTTATTTAAGTTACTGTGAAAAGTCATCAGGCACAAACTGTCATGCCACTGACTTCATTGCAGTAGACTGTCTTGAAGATTCTACTGGTAGTAGTTCTGATGAACTTCTAGCTTCCTCCACTTCGGATAAGCCAGAAGATCTGCTGTCACCCACATGGCATCCGTCCAGTGTCCATCATATTGGTGATGTTTCTGAGAAATATTGTGTAGCAAATTCAGCCTTGCCTTTAGAAAGGATAAATAGTGATGCACACACAGTAGGAGATGTGCCTGAATGCTCCGTGAAAGAGATGACTCCTTCCTGTATTGGGGATCCCAAAGAAGACTACATTGATACAATGGATGAGCTTCAGTGTTTGGTAGAAACGGTGTCAGAGTATTTAGCAGAGAAAGAAGAGGAGATTAATAGATTTGGTTCCCTTTCAAAAGCTAAAAATACACCGAAACAGAATAATACTGTTGATAATGTAGAACAAAATATGCCTGGGGGTCATGTACCCTCTTCAGCTGTTGACATGAATAACAAGGACAACAAGGACAAGTCCGTCTCTTTCCCTGAACTGGGTGGGGTAAAGAGTACTGTTGGTTCTTTGTTCACTTCACTCACAGAAAAGGTGAGTTCAGGCACAAAGCATCTAACAACCTCTGTGGAAAAGCTGGTACATTCCGTTCCAGAGAAAACGGGAGCTCTTAATCAAATAGAGACAGTTAATTCAGAATGTAGGCCCAGTGACAGGTCAGTATTGGAGCAGGATCTTTTTGGACAATTTTCATTATCTCCTCAAATTGTTGATGACAAGGATATCAGCAAATGTGGCAAAACCTCTAACAGTGAGGGCAATAAAAGTGGTGATTTATTCTTTCAGGATACAACAGAAACTCTTGGAAGGGCCTCAACTCCCCAGAATCCAAGTTCAGTTATGAAGTCTGTTTTTACCCTGCTAAATCCATTGAAAATCTTTTCAGAAAAGGAGGAACCAAAAAAGGCTGACCCAAGCAAATCTTTGGAAAGGGAAAGCCTCGTTGGGTGTGGTCTAGAGTCAAATGAAAGGGAAGAAACCCTTCACAGTCACAGTAGTAGTAGTATAGTTGCTATAAATAGGAATGATGGAGAAACTACAGATTGTTCCGAGATGCCCACCAGTAAGGATTTGCTGCATATCCAAGAGGCCAGTGAACCTGCAGATTTAACTAGTTATACAGGTCAGAAAGGTGATACTGAGAATCTGTATGAAGGAAAGCTCTGTGTGGATCTCTCCTTGTTACCAGATCAGCCAGAAATGTGTCCCAAAAAAACTTCAGGACAGCTTTGGGCAACTGGCAGCAGAACTGCTAATCAACAGGCCTTTTCACAGCCATCTGAGGAGAACAGAGTTGCTGGAGATCATGATTTCCTTGAGCCGCTCAGAAAATCCTTCAGCCAGTTTTTGTTCACTTCCCCTGAGACCTGTTCGAAGGAAACTTTGCCAGAATCTGTGAAAAATCACCAGCCAAAGGATGATGGGCAGGAAAAGAGCACAAAGAAAAATGACCAATCTTTTTCCTTTAGTGGAAAACTGCATATTCCATTTTTCCGAGTCCCTAGTCATTCTGAAAAACAGCAGGATTCAAAAGAGAAAGGAAGTGTTTTTCCTTTGTTTAAATTTCCTTTCACTGACAGACATAACACTGATAAAGACCAGAGTTTTCATGGCTCGGCAGCAATCACTGGTAAAGAGCTGCAGACAAATTGCCATGAAGATGCCAAATATACTTCAGCAAAATCAAATTCAGTTCCAGATATTCATAATGATCTAGGGAATCTTGGTAGTACAGATAAATTTAATCAGAATGACCAAATAAATTGTCCTGTAGGTACCAAATTTAGCTCAATAAAATCTAGTTCAGTTCCCAATATTTATAATGATCTAGGGAAATTTGACAGTATGAAGGAATTTAATAACAGTGGCCAAATAAACTGTCCCAAAGATCTCAAATTTAATATGTCTAATTCAGCCCCTAATATTAATAATCTTAGGGAGCTTGGGAATATAGAAGAATTAAATCCAGGTGATCATCTGGTAATGGAGAATTATGAAAGAGATACCTTAACCATCCCTGAAGTTGTACCCAAAGAACATATAACTCCAAATCCTTCAGAAGTTAATAACCTTATCCAAGTGACATCTTCAACAGTGTCAAGCTCTTCATTAGAGTCTATTTCTACTGTTTCAAAATCTACTTTGGTTGATGAAATGAGTGAAGTTGAAGTTATAGATAAAACTTCCCAAAAAAGAACCCAAGGAGGGCTCCTTTCTGGCCTTTTTAACAGGTTTTCTTCCTCTGAAAACCTGTCTAGTCAACAAGAATTAAATTTGAAAAAGGATGATTCCTATCCGAAGAATAATACTCCCAGCTTATTCATCTCTGGAATATTTAACTTTATCTCAAATAGCAGTAGGAGTGATTGTAAACCAGATGAAACAAAGTTGGTGTCTTTAGATGAGACAAAAAGTTTGAATGGAAATAAGCATTTATCTTTGGATAAAGCCCCTGCTACTTCATGTGTGACTGCCAAGAACCAGAGAAACTATGGTGAAAAACAGGAAACTTCTGATTTGATAAAAAAATTCTCAGTGTTACCTAAAGAAAGCACAGCATCATCAGAGGCTTGGATTGATGATCGTTATTGCCCTCTTATGTGGAAAAGCCAGCAAGATGAAAAGAAATGCTCTTCTTCTGAGAACATAAGACCTCTGTATGTTCCTGTGGTTGAACAGGGCATTTCAGAGAAGTCAATGGCTATGAGCCCAGCACCAAGTCATGTTTTTGAAGCAGAAGTATATGAAAACGCAAAGAATTTAAATTTACCCATAATAAATACTAACATTTTAAATAAACTCGACAATTCACAGTCCTTTGAAGGGATGAACAATCCTTTGTGTTTTGAATGGGACTCTAATGTAAGGGAGTTCTCTAAAAATTCCAGAAAACTTCAGCCAGTTTGTTATATGTTGAATCACAATGCATTTCCATCCACGGATGCTTTCTTATGGCCTGATTCAGAAAACTCAGTAATAAATTTTTGCCAAAAAGATAAAAATGCAAATATCTTGGAATGGAGAACAAATCCAAATGGTGTCATTTGGTGTGACTTACCATATGAATCATCCAACCAGTTAGCATTTAATGAAGATTACTTATTAAGAGGTGATATGTGGGCAGCTAGCTCACTATATGGAAATTCTGATCATATTCCAGTTAATGAAAGTAAGAACTCACTAAATGAGTTGCCTATTGACTTAAGTTGTACTTCAGATTATGATAAAGTTACTTATCCCACAGTTGATCAGCAGTTGTTAAGAATGGATGAATACTTTGTTCTTTCAAGCTTTGACTATGAGTACCAGGAATGGTTGTCATGTCTTGAAAATGGAATCTGGTGGCCATCAGAGGATGGAAATTATGGATATTATATGTTCCATGATGGTCAGTATATCTATTCTGTCCTCACAGATCCTACTGGTCAGTATGCATATTTATTTATACCTGATTATCCTTATCAAGAATATTTGAGTTGCGACTTACAGACAAATGATCTATCAGATGTTACGTTGGATGACAGTAATTTTTCGGCCTGTAGATTTAATGTATTTGACAAGAAAGATGAAATACTGTATGTTGAAGAGGAAGCACTTGATGATCCTCTTGATTTATCTATATCTTTTCGAAGAAGTGAGGAATCATCGTATCTAAATTTAGAAACTTTTTCACAAGTACTTGAAAAGTCAAGTTATGACCAAAGGGATCAACCATTAGATTTTTCAGGCTATAATCCTCAAAAGTTTAAAGAAAATTTTAGATCTTTCAAAGAAAGGCCATGTGGTTCTGAAAACCTTGAATATGCTTTAGATTTCAGAAATCAGTCCAAAATTATGAGTAATCATGTCTCAAAGAGAGATCAAATAACAGAGAAAGATAAGAACCAGTCTCCATTTGAAGACTCATCAGTTCATTTTCCCAGTTTCCATCAGCTTCAGTCATCTTGTAAAGAAGCCTCCTCTTTGGTTCACCCTGAAATTATGAACAAAGGTTTCCAGCAAGCAGAAAAGACATCGTTAGTGAACAAAGTAACTCCAGCGTTCTCTGTTTTGGGTGCCTTAGTTAAAAACACTTTGACTTTTGGTAAAGATGAATCTGTAGACTCTTTGATCATACAAGACATGAATCCACAGTCAGTATTAACACAGCTCAGAAATGACGACTGTCAGTCATTAATCTTGAGTAAGCCATTGGAGGATAAATCCCAGAAGGAAGAAGCAAGTCCTCTTAAGGGTTCAGAGAGACAGATTATATCCAGCATTCAACAAGATGAATTGACTGAGAAGAAAAGACAAGAATCCCCTTTAAGTAAAAGTAGTCATGTGAAAGAACAAAATTTGCCAAAATCAGATGTCCTGTTTAGTGATACAATTCCTCAAGTGAAATCTGAAGATGAAGTCATTACAGTTGATTCTGTAGGTCTTCTTGCACCACCATTTAAGAGGAATGTGCACAAGGACTATGAGCTTTCTCAGGACCAGCCTACCAAAGAACCCGAGAAAACATTGTTTAAAAGTGCGTTGAAACTCTTTGGTCGCGGAGAAGAATCTTCAGTAAGTGCAATAGCAAATGAAAAACAGGCAAGTGGATTTTTGAACCTCTTTAAAACCCATGTGAATAAAGAAGGATCATCAGACTTAGAAAAGGATGCTGCTAAAAAGGGACAGATGTTATCTCAGGATAAGAAAGAAACTTCCAGTGTTTCCAATTTTTTTGGTACCCTTGGAGATCTTTTTAAAACCAGTGTGTCTCCTTCACAGACAACTGACAGTAAGTCTGTTTCTTCAGTGACTAGCAGAGATGATATCAAGTCAACTCCTAATTCTGTCCTGCTAGCTAATCAGGATGTTGGGAACATTGCTGCTACACCAGTTTCCTCTAAAAGAAAGGCCAGAGGGAGAGGTTTGAGCAAGCAAACTACTATTGATGAAAGTGGGCTCAAGGAAACATCAACTGTGGAAATCCCAGGTAGTAATTTGATTGAGAAAGAGATAGCCTTCAGAAATCACCTAATCCAGCAGCCAGCAAATCCATCTTTGTCAACAGGTAACCTCAGAGAGTCTTCCAGAGAGTCTTCCATAGAAGCTAGTGCAGTAACCACAGGGACAGAAGTTTCAAGGAGTAATAAAACAGAAGACACTCTAAACAAAAGAAATTCAAACGAGCAGGGTCATTTTCTTGACAAAGATTGTGGTTTTTCAACTGCCACAACATTTCCATCCAAATCAGAATTGCCAACCAGAAAGAGTATGTTTTCTTTCTTGACCAGGTCTGAAAAATCTGAAAAAGGAGCCTCTAATACGTTACCAAGAGCCAGATCTCAAGCAGAAGGGCTATTCATACTTCCCTCTCTTTTTTCCAGTAATAGTACAAGCATTAAGAAAGATGTCTCTTCTAGTAGCTCTACATTTAGTTTCTTTGGCTTGTCGTTTTTGGATGAAAAGAAACAGGCTCCTGAGGAAAAACCAAACCTTATGACCGCTGCTCCAGTAGTGACTTCACAGCCCCATAAAAAACCAGCTGTTGTGGTAGACTGGAGCAGTAGTATGGCTAGTGAAAGTTCCAGGGGTCGCAGAGATAGCCCAGTCCAGGAAGTAGTACTTCACGAACAGCAAATGGCCCCTTGTGTTTCCAACAGCAGCACTGTTGAGGATACCTCCCTTGCAGATGAGCTCAGTGTAGAGGAAACTCAGGAAAAACTGGCTTTCTGTAATGAGCCAGGGACATCTTCAGATTTCCAAGTGCATCAATTGCAACAAGATGGTGTTCCTCCTTCACCAGAATTCCAGGCAAAGACTGGAACATTCTGCACTGACCCAGAGACTCTTGGGGTAGCTTTTCATGAAAAGGAGTCTTTCAGCTTCCCTAGGGACTTCCTGGCCACATCTTCTTCATACGATAACCAACTGATTGAAAACCTCAATGATTTAGACAGTCATACCAGCCGTCACCGAAATGAACAGTTTACTTGTGACCCATTGAACCTGCCCTTGGAAAAGGCCTCTGAGGAGGTTTTACTGCAGTCTCAGAAGGCAGCCTCTTCATCTTCAGACCCAGGAGATGCAGGGCCTCTGCGGTGCCAAGATGCAGATAAAGAGGAAGACCGATCAGTGTTAGGCTCTCCCGTTGAAATGCTTTCAGGATTTGTTACTAAAGTAAAATCTTTCTCTGAGTGTTTGATTGAACCTCCCAAATCTTTCTCTGGACTCTTTACCTCTCCTAAATCTCCAAAGAAAAACCCTCTTTTCTCTGTTTCTCCTAATACGACATCACCACCGCCTAAAGGGGAGTTCTTTGGACTTTTCAAAAGTCCCAAGTCAGGGACATGTAGACAGGAATCACCTGTGGCTACTTCCCGGCTTCAGCATGGTTATTCCAGAGATGCTGTAGGACCGCTGCCCCCGGAACACTTGTGGAGAGAAGTTGCCTCTGAAGCATCTCATTCAGAATCTACTTTCAGTGACTGCAGAATGGCTGTGTTTTGTGCAATGTCAAACTCAGATAACTTGACAGATGACTATAAACTAACAACCAAAATGGAGGACAATAATGTGGCTGAAAACATGCCAGAAACCCAAGGTCCTGAAACAGTTACTACATCCTCAGTCTCTGAGGAGGATCCTGGACAAGGAGCGTTGTCTCTGAGTGATGAAGGAGACATGGGGATGTTGCAGGGCACAGACACAGAGGCCTCCCTGGAAGCAGAGCATATTTTATTGCCCACACAGTTGCCTCCAGATCCTATCTCGGTTCCCAAAGGGTCTCCTCCTTCAATAGAGCTGTCTGTTCCTCCTGAACCAGAGCCAGCTTTTCAGACTACCCCCATAAACCAAGATGTCTTAGAGCTACAGGCAACCAAAACACCAGAAACCAGCACTACATTATCTGGTGAGGCAAGTGTCAGCCAGGACACAGCACTGGAAATCCAAGAACATGCTTGTCACCCTCTGCCAGGGGAACCTGTGCTTTGTGCCAAAGAAAGTTGTGGGATACTTCATGCCCAAAAAGATCCCCCTGCAGTCCTCCAAGAAACAGAACCTCCAAAATCTCAGTTTGAGATCCCCAAAATGAACAATTGGCCAAAGCTCAGCTTCTCATCCTCCGTTGCTGACCATGGCAAACCATTGAGCTCTTTCTTTTCCCGGTCTTCAGCCTCTGGTGGTAGAACAGCAGAGACTGGTTTAATGTCCAGTTTTAAGAAATTGTCAGCTCTGTTTGAGGGAGGTAGTGAGGGGAAAGGAAGTATGCTAACAAGTGATTCCAAACTAGGGTTTGGAAGGAAGCAGGATCTCTCATTTCAATGGCCAAAAGAGAACAAAGAAGCCTCTGCACAAATGCCTGCAGAGACCATGCCTCCAGTCTTGCTGAGCAGTAGTGATCAGGACCTTCATACCAGAGAGACTGAGAAAACTTTAGGGTCTTCACAAGTATCTGGGGATAGTGCTGAGCCAGTGAGGGTCCATACCCAGGCTTCTGGGACTGCTGAGCAGCTGGAAGCTAGGCCAAATGTCTATGCTAATGGAGTTTCAGGGCCTGAAGAAATGGAAAAGCCTCAGGAAGTCCCAGCGACTGGAGAACACCTGGATACTGGAGATAGCTTCACTGGCTCCACCTGCCCTTCAAGGAAAAATGAGAAAGAGCATTGCACTGTTTCTGAGTTACTTCACCAACCAGGAAAACAAGAGGAGGAGGCAGTGCCCGCATGTGCTGACTCTGTTTCAGGAGCACACCAGCCAGCCACTCTGAATGGCATCAAGGAACCGATGACCGACAAAAGGCTTGTTTTCAGTTCATGTATCATAAATGGTTTTAAGGAATTGACCATTTATGATGCCAGTGACTTAGTGGTAGATTAATCATAGCTTGTTTTCTGTCCTTCCTTTGTCTTCTAGCTTCTGAGCTTCATGTTAGTTAGGGGTTAAGTCGCAAAAACTAATATGTGGACATTATTTTTCCTCTCCTTTCTTTAGTACCAAATGTAACTCATTTTTGGGGGGTGTGGGAAAGACAAGGAATTTACCTCTTAAAGGAAAGGCTGCACTTCAAGATTTACCTGCTGCGGTTTATTCTGCCTTATATGTAATGTAAAAGGGAGAAAGGAGAGCACAAAGAGGCAGCAGGTAGATGAATGACGTATGTTAATTACAGCTACATCCTACAGCTTCCATAGAACTTAGGCGCTTGTATTTTGTAGTAGATTGGGAGAGGCCCATGTTTGCATTTTCAGGTCTTCTAAGGTGCTTCCTCCAGTGGCAATGAGGCTACTAAGTAAAATACAAGATAACTTGGGATGGTGTAGATTCCATATGGATTTGCTTAGATCCTTCAAGAATACCGGGAATAGCAGTGTTTCAGATTGAAAAGCTATGGAGGATAGCTCTGAGTGCCTATGAGACTTTGCCCAAAACGATTGAGCAGATATCAGTCTCTTAGTCTGCAGTATTATTAAGGATATCATTGTATCATTCATGTTGGTGAGGCAGTAACCCTGCGCAATTTCTTGGACCTTGATCTTTCGTTATCTCATCTTGTAGAAGGATGAACTAACTGAAGGAAAATATCCACTCTCCTTTTGCTTATCCTAGCATATATGTATACACATTTATAATTACAGAGGAAGAAATGGGAACCTCAGTTCAATAAATAATATAAAAAAAAGTCAAATTCATTACTGCAATTTGCTGTGTGGAAATTAGAAAGTGTTAGTCATAGCCACTGGACAAATCTTTGTAGAAGACTGAGTAAAGAATTTTAGATAAGCAACTGGCTATTGAAATAATTCTTAATTCTACTCATAAATTGCACATTAAGGACAAATCTTCAGAAATGAGCACAGGGCTGAGGATAAGTGTTGTTGGAAGACAATATGTTGTGCTGTGTTTTTTTCCTGTTGTAGTTCTGTTGCACAGACGCAACTTTTTCTAGATTGTGAAGTTTGGTCCTTTCTCTCCAGAAACTTCCTGCTTGTGAATTTTGCCATTAACATCATTTTGTGGTGGTGCCTGGTTTGCATTTACTTATTCATCTGTCTTTGTCCCCTTTTCACAGCCCTACCAGCAGTAGTAGGTATGGCTCCTCCTGTAACGTGAGTCAAGGAAGCTCTCAGCTGAGTGAACTAGACCAGTACCATGACCAAGACGATGACCGTCGGGAGAGGGACTCCATTCATTCCTGCCACAGTTCTTGCAGCCTCAGCAGAGATGGCCAAACAGGTTTTGGAGAACAAGAGAAAGCCTTGGAATTGACATGTGAAGTTGAGAAAGGGAAAGTGTGTGAACCCCAGGAGATAAAAGAAGAGGCCACAGCCCATCCTCCCCCAGATCTGGTGCTACACAAAGACCACACCGCAGGCCCCCAGGAGAGGTAGGTGATGGCTGTCTCGAAGAGCTCATGTTGCTTCTTCAAACCAGTCCTGTGGAGACACTGAATATGAGTGCTCTTCATTGGTTTCCCTATAGACGGGTATAGTGATAGTCAAGAAAGCCAGGTTTAAATCTCCAGCAATTTCTTTGCTTACTGGTATAATTCCTTAGATGCTTTTGGATCTCTAGAGAACTCTGGGGTTCTTTGTCATTGCCAAACTGCAATGATCTGGGATTTCTTGAGCCTTAGGCTTACTGGTTGAGCCACAAAAGGCAGCCCTCTGGGTCAGGAACTGTTCTGAGCTTTGCAGGTTATTTCATTCACTGGGGAGGGGGCAGGGTTGCTTTTCCTGATGTCCCAGCATGTTAATATTTTACCTTCTTTTGTGGGTATTGTTTCTTTTGTTGTACTCTGGTTGAGAAAATGAAGATAGAGTTTAAAAAGAGTTGACTTGGGAATAAGACTTAAGCTGTCCCTCTGCCTCTTTAGGCCCAGCAATGTATCTGACAATTGGTATCCTTGTGAACACAAATTTATGTTTATCCTTTTAATAGTCTTATAATATTTCATGTAGAGTTTGTATGTTTTGACTTAAATTGGTTAGGGTAGTTGATAGGATAGGGAAAAGCAGATCTCTCGCTTTTTTTTTTTTTTATTGGAAAGGCGGATATACAGAGAGGAGAGACAGAGAGGAAGATCTTCTGTCCAATGATTCACTCCCCAAGTGAGCGCAACGGCCGGTGCTATGCCGATCCGAAACCAGGAGCCTCCGGGTCTCCCACGCAGGTGCAGGGTCCCAAAGCTTTGGGTCGTCCTCGACTGCTTTCCCAGGCCACAGGCAGGGAGCTGGAAGGGAAGCGGGGGCTGCCAGGATAGAACCGGCGCCCATATGGGATCCCGGGTGTGCAAGACGAGGACCTTAACCACTTGTGCCACCGTGCCAGGCCCAAAAGCAGATCTCTTAATCTTGGCACTATTGACATTTTGGCCAGGTCATTCTTTCCGGGGAACAAAATTGCCCCCAGTTGAAAACCACGGGATAGAGTGATAAGGGCTGGCCAGTGCTTAGATGCTCAAATTTCAGTATGTAACGTTAAAACCGGAAATATCAGCTCATTGAGTGCTTAATAATGATAAAACTTGGAGAATTCCTGGGGCTTCTATACCATCACTGGGTTAATGCATAAGTGACATATCTCTGTGAAGGTATACCTCTTTTCTTCTTTCCCTTCCTTGGTTTTTAGTCCTCTCTGGTGGCTCCTCTGGTGGGTCAGCATTCTCAGTGAGTGGATGGCCATTGATGGGCCTTAAGTCCTGCACTTACTGTCAGAGCAGAGCTCTCGGCGGGGAGATGGAAGTGCTTAACCTGAGGACTTGACCTCTACCACATGTGTCCTCTCCTGTCTTAACTGTGCAAGCGAAGCTCAGTTCTCTCTTGGCCATAAATGCCCACAGATACTTTCAAACAGGCAACCCATCTTTGTAACATGCATTGTACCTGTGGACATAGTGGACATTTGGCTACTGTCTTTGTTTTGAGTCCCAAAGGGAGGAAGAAGCAGCATGATCACCAAGAATTAATCGCCATTCCAATTAAAAACTTGGATCATGACTTGCTCTAGTGCTCTCATAGAGTAATACTTCTGTCTCAAAGATGTCTTACTTATTGAGCAATTTGATGAGGGTTTTTCTGAGGCCCCCTCAAGGAACAGGATCATTGGAAGACAAAGGGCCGTGACTTTATTATTCTGATGTGGTTTAGGGAATGATAAATCTTCCAAAACACTTAGTAGAGCAGGCAGGGTTTACCGGAACAGAATTCTGCACCAGGGCTGCCATGGGAGTTCTCAAAGCAGTTTGGTGGAGTTTGAGAGGCCCTACTCTCCTTGTAGTGTTTGCCTTGGACATTAACTTGGGACATTAATTTGCCATTGCTCCTAGTGACCTCACTCCTGACTGTCCCAATAAGCTTCTCATTGGACAAAATGAAAAATGCCGAGAAATGAGGGAAAAGGTGGAAAAATCTCCTTTTAGGGTTGTCATTTAGAAAGGAATTGTTTCATATGTCAGGACTATGCCATTTTTCTGCAGGCCTTTGAGTAGCAAAGCATTCTGTTTTAGACATTTAGCAACCTTGTTTTGAGCACTGTCGCTTTATGGCCTTGGGTAGTTTTAGAGCTTTCTTTTCTTTGTTACAAGTTTTCCTGAAGAGAAGGCATTTTCACCATCCACCCAAGCCAGAGTGCACTGGATCCGAGCCGTCACCAAAGTCCGACTCCAGCTGCAAGAGGTAGGAAGTCTGCTCCAATACTGGTTGGAGCATTTTTTCTTTTTCAAAGTGGGAGAAACAGCCAGTTGTGAGTCATCTTATTGTGTGTATGCTTCTGAGAATGCATGAGAAGCCAGAGCCTTGAGAGCCAGGAGATGGCCCTGACTCTCCTGTGTACGTATTAACCGAAATCACCTAGACCTTGGCTGGTTGAGAGCCTGAAGATTTAAATTTACAAGCATAGTTTAAGTGCATTCTTTCTCCTAAAGCCATTTGGTTTGAGCTTAGGCAAGGGAAGTATTTCAAGCTTCCTAGGTCGGTTGTGCCTACCAGCCAACCAGTTCAAGTACCACTGACTATGGTGTGGGGCCAAAAACAGTATACAGAAAACTTATGGGATTACTTAGTTTAAGACCCATGGTGTGAATACATTAGGAAAATCTGAAGCAAAGTAAAAAAGATATTTTTCATTTTCTGTGTAAACGAGTTTGATGTGTCCTTGCCTGTTTGTCAGTAGATAGGTAATCCTCAGTACAGAACCAGGCAGATATTAAAAATGCAAGCATGTTCACATGTGTAAGTGTACATTTCAAACTTAGGGAAAAGTTGCAGAGACAATAGTGTGAAGAACTGTGTCCCCTCACCTGATGCTCCCGTTAATGATATTTTGCATTTGCTTCCTCACCTTCTTTCCACTGTGAGCAATCTGTGTCTGATCCATTGGAGGGAAGGTTGCAGACATGGTGATCTATCGTTCCTAAACCGTCCTGTTTGTATTGCTCAAAAATAATGGCTGCTTTTCTGCATAACCACAATGTCCACATCCAAATCTGTAAAATGAGGATGACTCTGTCAGCAGGACTCTATCCCGAACCTGTCAGTTGTTGTCTTTTTCCTGTCTGACCCAGGATCCAATCCCAGGATGACATGCCTCTTTTGTCTCCTTCCCTGGGGGATGTTCCTTGGGCTTTTCTTTCCTCAACAATTGTAAGTGTTACAGATTTGTCATGTTTATGATGTATTCTTTGTTTTGAGTCCATTTGGTGTCTCCTCATGTCTGAAGTCAGGCTATACTTTCTTGGCAGGAATAACACAAAAGTAATCCAAGGCATCACACCAGACATGATGTGTTGACGCAGCTTCTTAGGTTTTCCTTACTGATTTGATTAAGATTTTATTGGCCTTCTTAATTGCAAGTGCTTTTCAGATGAGATACTCTGAGACTGTGTGGTATCCTGTTCCTCTGCCAATCTCCACCTGCCAGCTCATTAATTCATTGATGATTTCTGTGTAAACCCACCTCCACTAATTGTGGTTGTCAAATGTAGCTCTGATTCCAGTATGTTTTCTACATTAATTAGTTGACATTCTGCAAGAAAGAGATTCCTTCTTGTTTCATTAATTTATGTCAGTCTGGACTCAAATTCCTAATTTATAACATGAATTGTAATACATCATTATCATTTTTTAGATTGCCCTGACTTCATGCAAGCACTCTTTAATTTGATCATTCAGAGAGAAGATAATGCTTGGTAATTACTGAAATGCTAACTAGTTTGGAGAAAGCATTTTGAATATGTGTGATTTAAAAATCTTGCATACTGATCTTTTATCTTTTATCTTCCATACTTATGTGTCCTTTTCTTATCAGAAACAGTGAATGTTGCTAATAAAAACTCATAACTCTAAAAAAACTCATAGCTCATAACCCTAAAAATGTTGAAAAGACACTATTGATATATTAAAAATTCTTCCACTGAAATTTTCAGTGACATTTGAACTTATTTGTTAAAAATGTAAAAATATTTCTTTATATTATTTTAGTTTTATCTCTTCAAAACTCTTACTAAATCTTTACTGACTCATAGATCATACAGTAGCATCATTTCTTTAAGCAGGTTCTTGATTTGCTTCTTCATTTCTTCAGTGACACATTAATCATTCAGTAGCATTTATTTAACTTCATGGCATTGTAAATTTCTATTTTTCTTCCTATTGTTGAGTTTGTATTGTGACTTTTCATTTAAGGATAGTAACTGTGTAATGGAGACTATTGCATCCAGATGTGAGGATACAATGCAATATGCATCTTTACTTCCAGGTCAAAGATGAACTCCCAATGAAATTGTTAGTTATATTTTGACAATAGGATGTTGGACTCTCTGCCATTGTCAATGCCTGCAGTGATGGACATATGACTGTTTGTGATGAGCTATACTATAGTAATAATATAGGAGAACTCAGTGTGGAGAGGAGAGGGTTTTGGGAGGGGTAAGGGAAATCCCAGAACCTATGGAACTGTGTCATAAAATAATAATAATAATAAAAAAAGGTAAAAAAAATCTGAAAATATTTCTTTCTTGCAAAGATAACGGACTAACGTCAGATAAGATAACTAGGTAGATTTGAACAAATTCTTTGGGTAGTTAGCCTCTAGGAGCCAACTGATGTATCAGTATGTTTTTCTGCTGTGAGAGCTTTGAAATGATTGAATGTGGAATCGGGCCCATAAGTCATTCTATAGCAAGGTATTAAAGCAAAATCTAAAAAAATGACAAGGCATACTATTATCATATTGCTTCCACTAAGAACATAGTACTACTAATATTGTTACAAAAAGTGAAAATATTTTTTATAATTAAAGAGTATGTAAAATGTTCCTTTTATGCTTTTCACATTTTAATTGCTTGATACAATCAAATATTAATGTTTTTTGAATGCATATGATTTTAAATCAATAAATCCACATATATTGAGAAATATATATTAAAACATTTCTATGCATAGAGCTGCCTGGTTACAAACACTAAAGGACTGCTATTGTAGATTAACATAGGGTAAACAAACATTATGAAGTTAACGTATATATTTAAGATTTTCAGAGTAAGAGTTTTATATTTATTATTGTAGAGGAAAGTAAAATAACTCTAGAGGAAAGAACCTTATTTATTATAGAGGAAAGTAAAATCACTCTGTAAAAGAAGCAATTATGATTGATGACAGTAAGAAAATACTGGATCAGACATAATTACAACTTTTTAGTTTTAAGGAGTAATTCAGAGTTTTTTTTAGCAAGCATATCTGAAGCAATTGCCAACGTTTTTTGAATCATCTAGAGAAAGGTTTGGTATATTGAAGAGTAATTAAGACCCACTGCTGCTTAATTGACTAGGAGAACAAAAGTATTCTTAACACAGGTAAAGTACCTGATAGTTGATCAGAGGTGACCAAGAGAGGGAACAAAGCCAGAGTTTGAAGAAGGATCTGATATTAGTTTAAAATCGAGGCAAAAGATGCCATTCATATTTTTTTAAAGATTTATTTTTATTATTTTTTAATTGGAAAGGCAGATATACAGAGAGGAGAGACAGAGAGGAAGATCTTCTGTCCCGTGATTCACTCCCCAAGTGAGAGCAACAGCCGATGCTATGCTGATCCGAAACCAGGAGCCTCTTCCAGGTCTCCCACACGGGTGCAGGTTCCCAAAGCTTTGGGCTGTCCTTGACTGCTTTCCCGGGCCACAGGCAGGGAGCTGGAAGGGAAGCGGGGCTGCCAGGATTAGAACCGGCGCCCATATGGGATCCCGGGTGTGCAAGGCGAGGACCTTAACCACTTGCGCCACCGGGCTGGGCCCCCATTCATATTTTTTTAAGGATTTTTTTTTTAATTGAAAAGTCAGATTTACGGAGTGGAGAGACAGAAAGAACTTCCATCCTCTGGTTCACTGCCTAAGTAGACACAAGGACCAGAGTTAAGCCAATCCGAAGCCTAGATCCTCTTCCTGATTTCCCACGCTGGTGTAGGGTCCCAAGGCCTTGGGCCATCCTTGACTGCTTTCCTAAGCCACAAGCAGGAAGCTGGGTGTGTATCAGGGCTGCTAGGATTAGAACCAGTGCCTATATGGGATCCCAGCACATGCAAGGCGAGGACTTTAGCCATTAGGTTACTATGTAGGATGAAATATGCAGATTGATGCAGAAGAGAGAAACATTAAATACAGCATAGAGATTTTTTTCCCCTCTCAAGTAACCAGAACCTTCATTTGTTGCTCTTTTACTCTCTGCCCAAGATAATTTTTGTTTTTTTTTTTTTATTTACCATCTTGAATGTCATTATGTAAGAATAAGCAAAATGGGGGAGGTAGGCATTTGGCACAGTAGCTAAGATACCACTTGGGACGCCTGTATCCGATCTTGGAGTTATGGGCCTGAGTTCTGGCTCCTTTCCCAATTCCTGCCTCCTAATTGGACACAATAGAAGGTGAGTGCTCAAGTTTTGGGATTGCTTTGGAGTGAGTTCTGGAATCCTGGCTTTGGCTTGACCTAGCCCTGGGTGTTAGAGGCATTCAGGGAGTGAATCAGCAGGTGGGAAATAAGTCTCATTTTCTGTGTCTCTGACTTTACAATAAAAATAAAACAGACATCTGGCTGGACCAGATCTAGATGCTTCTTTATCTTTTTTAAAAGAGTGATAAATATTTTCTTTAAACTGTACAATTTACACTGAGAACATCTTGATTTTTTACGTAGAGACCTTTCCTTACTAAAAATCCTTAAGAGGATTTTTCGTAGTCTGTTATATAAATGTACTCCAAGGACTTAATTTTAATTGTTCATTTGGTTATTTCTAGTAGTTTGCTATAACAAATAATGTTACAAATAAGTACACTTTTAGTTAGGTTCCTCTGTGTGCATGCCTGGTATGCCTGAGGGAATATATATGTTGGATACATATTGCCCAGTTAGCCTCCATTTGTCAATAGCTTAAAGCAACAAAATGTGTTTCTTGTCCATGCTACCATGGAATTCTATTTTAATATGTCTTACTTGTCATCCAGGCTGACGGAGCAGAACAGCATCTAGAATACCACAGGAGTAGAGGGATAGGAAGATGCAAGTGGAAGAGAGCATAGCACATTCATTGCACTTTGACTCTTTGCAGTTCTGTCCAGTAGTGGCATCTGTCACTTTTGCCAACCTTTCTCTGGCTGTAGCAATACATACTCACACTTAACCTCAAGT